TGACATGACAAATATTAGTCACAGGTCACCTTTACATTAATGAGCAACCAAATGTACAGACAATTTTCCAACCTGAACACAACCTGGGAAGCGATAAGTAGCTAAGGTTATTCTAACTACTGGATTAGACCAACGGCTGTCTCCTCGGCTAGAATCAAAAGTGTCAAGTCCGTTTAACGACGCATTGTCAAGGGGGTTCTCAAGGTAACTTTAGTAACGTCCATTTCATTGAAGTAAATTAACGGTTAGCAGGACAATAAGGAGAGGGATTCTGTTTGGTTGCAGCTGGAACGAACACATGTTATATCTACAGGGAGGTAATATCTATAAACGAGCATTTTTTCCAGGTGCGGTTGGGAGAGGGCTTCTGTATGGAATTAGATGCCTCATCCGGCCCGTGAATACCCATCAACATTTTATGAGGGGTCGCATTCGGAGAAAAATTGGCCAGAACGATAGCCAAATTAAGCAGGTGAATGAATAGATAGAAAAGAAAAGTATATTTTTACTTTATTGCAGTGACACTGGCTATGTTGCGGCAGTCAATTATTGCGGGCCTCCAGACCTCTTAGGAAAACAATCGGATGGTACTGCCGGTGTAGGACAGTAGGCTTTGCCAGTAGGCAACGAGTGAAAGTGGTTTGTTTTTACTTTAGTGCACTTGTTAGTTCGGATACTGCAGTAACCAACATGTAATAGGATAAAATGTTGAAAATAGATTTGAAAGCTTGAGCAGCACCTTGACAAATTATAAAGATAATATTTGCTAGTTCTCCCGAAGCAAATAACAATGAACCACTGATCTAGGGGTTGTGTTGTGTCGCCGGACATTCGATAAGTGCACTACTGCCTTCCGCTTTTGTCTCAGATGGAATCATATGCGCACAAACGACATGTTGTAATATTCCCAGTGGAGTCCGTGCGAAGACATGCGAAACCGATTGCAATTTGTTCAGGCAACAAATCAGCAGATTTGGTTGGTCTAATGCCTGGAGTGATAGCAATTTCAATCAACTGTTTTACCATATGGAGCTAACAGCGGGACATGTGTCAGAGCTCCCTCAGTAACATCATTACTACATGTTGTACGCAGTGTACAAAAACAGCAGTGCATTCTGTTCTTCACCTTTTACGCACAAAGTGCATCGCTCACGCAACACACTGTCTATGAGTTTGTGGAAAAAAATGACAGGCAGCTTGTCTTGACCACTCCATCTTTAGACCCGATTCGTGTGTTCACATAATATAGTCCAAGCTGCATACGATTGAAGGCATTTAGTTTGCGATATTCTGTGGTAAACATCATGCGATTTACTGCAGTGAACTTAAGGCAAACAAATGTACTAATGGCCATCAAACAAGTAGCATGTTGCTAACTCCAAAATTGTCACGTGGAAAGTTAAATATACTTAACGGCTAACTTATTTTTGTTGTTGATTATTCATGCACCACGGTCCAAGATATATTACCGAACACGGATATGTTGGGCTGCTAAACCATTCTACCATGATTGTCTTGGGATTCCTCGTTTTTCTTTTTAGTAATCACATCATATCAAGTGAGCATGTGAAGGCTAGACAGCCGGAAGTTCAGACGAATGACCTGTTAACTGTCTGCACTACAGTTGCTACGATGCAAAGAGATAGACAGAATGTCAACAGAATGACAAGGGAAAAAAGAATTTAACGTTCATGTTGATGCTTTCACAACGACCAAATCAATCAAGAGTTTTGCTAACCGATTTGTCAAAGTATTTGAAGACCCGCTAGACTTTCATTTCCCTCGCCTACCCAGTCTTAGTGAACTGTCTTCCCCCTCAAAATGCGAAAATATGCCAGTTTTTTTAGGCACATTTTGCTTCAAATTAGATTATTGCATCCCCCAAACAAATATAGATCCCTCTGGATTTTCTTCAAACCTAGTATGATTTAGAAGGGCACATTTATTCGTGTGTGAGAAGGATTTTACCCGTAAATCATTCATTTGTTTCTTCCGTTTTCCAAGCATTTATTCGCCAGAAAT